TCGGTTCAGCCCCCCCCGGGCCGGGGGGGGACCCTTTGTGGCGGCGGGGCCGGGCCCGGTCCCCGGAGGAACCATGCCCAGGTCGTTCCTGGTGAAGAAGGTGAAGCTCGATGATTTCCCCGCCGGTCTGGACGCTCCCTACGGCCGCGCCCGGGCGGATTTCGGCTCCCGTTTGCACGAGAAGGGTAAATACCGAGCGCCGGGCCCCGCCGGGCCCCCCCCGCAGCCGGCCGGGAACCGCCGCATTCCGCCGCGCCGGCACGGGGGAACGGCGCCCAAACGCGGCGGAACCGGGGCGGAACCGGGGCAGAACCGGGGCACGGAGCGGGCGGCCGGTGCCGGCTCTGCCCTTTGTCTGCGGGAGCCAAGTTCAAGGGCAGCGGCGGCGCGGAGCCCCCCTTGTCCCCGCCGCCGTTGTCCCCGCCGCTGTCCCCGCTGTTGTCCCCGCTGTTGTCCCCGCCGTTGTCCCCGCCGCTGTCCCCTCCGTTGTCCCCTCCGCTGTCCCCGTCCCGGCCTTTGTGCGGAGCGCGGCCCCGGCCGGGCCCGGTGCGGCTGCGGCTGCGTTGCGTAACCGGGACCGGCGGAACCGCCGCAGCCGCACCGGGCCCGGCCCGGCCGTGACCTTGAGCGGGAGCGGGGCAGCGGCGGGAGGGGAATGCGGGAATGCGGGGATGCGGGGATGCGGGAATGCGGGAATGCGGGAATGCGGGGAGCGGGGTGGCGGCGGCACCGGGAATGCGGGAGGAGGGACGGGGACAGCGACAGGGGACGGGGACAAGAGACTGCGGGGACAGGGACAAGGGACAGTGACAAGGGACAGCGATGCGGGAGGGGACGGGGATGGGGACGGGGACTGCGGGGACGGCGACAAGGGCCAGGAGCTGCGGGAAGCGATGAGGATGGGGACAGGAACTGCAGGGACAGGGACAAGGGACAGGGACAAGGGAAGGGGACAAGGGACAGAGAGAGCGGCAGCGATGCGGGAAGGGACGGGGATGGGGACAGGGACAAGGGACTGCGGAGACAGGGACAAGGGACAGGAGCTCCGGGAAGGGACAGCGACAAGGGACAGAGAGAGCGGCAGCGATGCGGGAAGGGACGGGGATGGGGACAGGGACAAGGGACTGCGGAGACAGGGACAAGGGACAGGAGCTCCGGGAAGGGACAGCGACAAGGGACAGAGAGAGCGGCAGCGATGCGGGAAGGGACGGGGACAAGAGACTGCGGGGACAGGGACAAGGGACAGGGGACAGGGACGGGGACAAGGGACAAGGGAAGGGACAGAGAGCGGCAGTGATGCGGGAGTGGACGGGGATGGGGACAAGGGACTGCGGGGACAGCGACAAGGGACAGGGGCTGCGGGAAGGGACGGGGACAAGGGACAGAGAGAGAGGCGGTGATGCGGGAAGGGACGGGGATGGGGACAGGGATGGGGACAGGGATGGGGACTGCGGGGACAGGGACAGGGGACAAGGGGCAGCGCAGGGGACAGGAGCTGCGGGAAGGGACGGAGACAGAGATGGGGACAAGGGACAGCGACTGCGGCGACAGGGACAGGGACAGGAGCTGCGGGGACAGGGAACAGGGGACAGGGAACAGGGAACAGGGAACAGGGGACAGGGAACAGGGGACAGGGAACAGGGGACAGGGAACAGGGGACAGGGACAGGAGCTGCGGGGACAGGGACGGGGGGGATGAGGGACAGGGACAAAGGACAGCTACTGCAGGGACAGAGACGGAGACAGGGACAGGGACTGAGGGGACAGGGATGGGACAGGGACAGGGATGGGGACAGGGATGGGGACAGGGATGAGGACGGGAACTGCGGGGACAGGGACAGGGATGGGGACAGGGACTGCGGGGACAGGGACAGGAACAAGGGACAGCGACTCCGAGGACGGGGACTGCGGGGACAGGGACGGGGACAAGGACTGCGGGGACAGGGACGGGGACAGAGGTGGGGGACAAGGACGAGGGGAGGAAGAAATGAGGGGACTGAGGGCAGCGATGGGGACAGGGGACAGGGACAAGAGACGGCGACTGCGGGGACAGGGACAGGGACAGGGACAGGGGACAGGGACAGGGACAGGGACAGGGACAGGGGACAGGGACACGGGGACAGGGACAGGGACAGGGACAGGGACAGGGACAGGGGACAGGGACAGGGACGGGGGGGG